AGCAGGAGCCATGCCCTGATCTGGGGCGAGCTGTACACACACACACACACACACACACACACACACACACAAATGACTGATTTACCTCTTGAAGCTCTGTGTACATTCCTGACGGGGATGAGTGAACAGGACAGTACAACATGTTGGCAGTGAACATTTTTTTAACTGCCATACCTCAAAGCAATACTGCTGCACGTCATGCAGCACCTTGTTGAGATCCTTGTTGAGCTGTTCCAGCTCAAGCACTATGGTGGCATATCTCTGCTGGAATTCTAAGTCAATAGACACCGAGTATGATTTCTGCAAAAAATAAACAAACAGTCATTGTTGAAGTTAACTTTAAACTGTGAACTCAACCTAAATATGTGCAAATGTTCTCGGGTGATTTTACCAGCTTCTCCACTTCTGTGTTCATTTCCTTCAAGAGCTTGATGTGCCCTTTCTTGATCATGAGGATCTTGGACAGCCTTGTCTAAAAATACAGATGAATAGACCAATCAGGCACAGCGACGTCTTGCACACTGAATTCACTGTATGTTTTAATATTTACCACTTGAACCAGGAACTTGACAGGAAACCCTCCCAGAGTGTCTCCCTCAGCACCAGAGAGTTGGTTCTTCCACGGTGATTGGTTGATGAGAGGATCAGTGTCCTGTTGGCAAACAAATCAGCGGTCTTTGTGAGAAGAAAGATTTTATTTATTTTAATCCTCAATTTTAGTATCTTTTCACTTGTTCCCTATTACTACCTACTTATAAAAATATATACTTATGAAAAAAAAAAAACTAATAAGTTATTATGCTATCATAATCGATCATCACAATCATTTGGTAGAGTCTATGAAGATGGTGGCCTATCCAGTCCTATTTAAAACTCAAAGTGCTTCATACTGTAGGTTTGTAATGTACATTGTGTTAATGCCAAGGATGGGGTAACATGGAGATAATCACAGTCTGGAATAAAACAAAACACAACTGGCCGACAGATGAATGTCAGCTGTTAGTATCACAGCAGTGCATTCCTCCACTGAGTGAAAGTGAGAAGGACTGCACTCTGGAAAGGGTTTCATTTGGCTGCACTGTAACACTTTTATCATTACATACCATACTGGTATCATGTCAACATCTCCTTAACCAGAGATGTAATTAGATAACGAGACGTTAAAGGGCAAGAAACAAGGTTCAGCTTTGTGTGACTCTGACAAATGGACATTACCAGAAGAACAGGTGTAGTAGCAGATGGATACGACCCCCTGGGTGGAGTCATTAGGTTTTGCATGAAACGTGTTGTCCGATGCTTCTGTGCAAAAGCCGATAGAGGCATCGTCTCATTGGGTTCGTTGCTCTGAGAAGCACAAATACCAACAGATGAACAAGGATTTTTTTACTGCACAAAATGAAAAAAAAAAAAATCATACTGTCCTTGAGTTCAAACCACCAGTAAGGCAGATATTGTAGCAGGATGGTCTTACCAGGACTTCGTAGTCAGGCACGGTGTGTGTTCCTAGGCCACTGCGGTCAAAAGTGACGCGATAGGTAGCTGCAATGGTGTCCACCGCATCAATCTGTCCGGTAAACAATCCGTCATGGACACCTCGCAGTCGAGCTATTGATGAAAATACATAGTTAAAACCCGTAAAAACAATGAGTTCCACATCTAAGTACTTAGCCATAGTCAAGCAGTTAGCCATAGTCAAGACAAGATAGACATTTCCTACCAGTGACTTTGGTTCCTATGATGAGTGGGAGAGGAATTTCATCAGGAAGGTCTTTGCAGTTTGAAACGTCCGACATTTTTCTTTGCTGCAACAGACGCATTTTTTGTCTCTTGTGATTTAGTGCTGTTCTCTCCTCAGCAAAAAATGCAGACGAACACCTGTAAAAGACAAAAACCAAGGGTGGAAACAGCATAAAAAATTAAAAAATGATTGCTGTGAGATTTAAGCATTGACCAATCGAAGTGAAAATGTTTGGATGCAGGAAATGCAAACATTGTAGCATACCGACGAGGTTTTCCCATTAGTCTCCTGATTGTTCCCCACTCAACTCTTGTGAGCTTCCTTGTTTTCAGGTTTGGAAAAGATTCCTTTAGACACAGGCAGAATTCATTGTCACCTTCAAAAAGAGGTCTGGAAGAAACAACAAAGGAAACAAAACACATTAAGTTAATTAAAAAATATCAAAACATAATAACAATTAAGAGTCATTAAGATCCAAACATATGGCCTTTTAAAAAAGTCAATTTTTTGCAAAAGCTGTCAAGGGGTCTTACCTGTCAATATTGGAATAAAACCACTCATAGATGCACCATTTATGAGCTTTGGGTAGCTTTAAGAGGTTTCTTAGTCTAAGGCCTATTTTTTGAGATGCCTTTTTATCTGGTGTCACCACAGTAGAAAATTTCTGCAAAGAAAATAATAAACAAAATCCAAAACAGTTATTTCACTATCAAATTCAGAAAAACTTTACACATTCTGTCTGTTTAAACAGTGATACAATTAAAAACAGACAGTGATCAATGGGCTTTTACCTGTGGTGTGGTGCTCACCCTTTGACTCCTCCGGGGGGATCTTGAAGAGAGACGCTGCTGAGGCAGCTCATCTTCCTCCCGACAGAAACGACTCCTCTTTGAGCTCCGCGTGGGCTGCACAGACATGCATGGGCAATAATTTAAGAAAAAAAAAATCTCAATGTCTAATACTCATTGATAAACAAACTCCCACGACTCTCACCGTATCCATCACGACGGGGGAAGGCCGTCCCCTGGTGTTGTGAGCTCGTGGGAAGTTGTTCTTTTCATTCAGAGTGTTGGATAAACTACCCTCTGTAAAGAAAGCAATGTGTTTATGTGTTTGATAAATATTTTACAAATTGTGATGCAGCCTCAGACTGAAAACAACCCAATTCATATCTGTATTGTCTAAAATAAATGCAAAGACACTACTACTATAATCAGGTCCAACAATGTGCAACAGATACTGTGAACATAATTATTCAAAAGAGAAAAAAATGCAGATAATATAGTAACTGCCTACATACCTTTTAGACTAACAAGAGCTTCTGCTGAAGAGCCTGAGAAAGAGAACAAATTGAATTACAACATGTCTACAAAATCACAGAGGCTGCAGGGAAATAAATCAACTGAACACACTATTGACTCTAGAAAAAGAGCCTACCAAGTCTAGTTAGTTCCATTTGTCATTACACTGGGCAATGTTTTAGAATGATTTCTTTTTGAAGCGTTAAATCATTTATTAAACCTGCTAAAGTAGTTTATTTTCCAGCTTTTTTTGCAGCTGTTTTGGTGGCTTTTGTCACAGTAGAGAGAATTATGAATAGTTAAACATATTAGTTTATTGAAAGACTAATAGCTGTTTCTGCAAACTACTAAACTTTATATTCATGACTAACACTAGAAGACATTTGGTGCTTGAGCTTTTTATTAGCTTTGTATCCCAGTAACAACCTGGGTTAAAGTGCAGATAATGCACTAGGTAGGTAGGCCTTTACCCCCAGTTTGAGCTGTCACACACGGATGAAATATCAGCGGAGCAGTCTGTAACGTTGGAACAGGGTTAATTGACTGGCGTTCACATTTTTCAGTAAAAAACGTGCAC